AGCTGTAGGTTACCTGCGACTCCCCTGAGGCCGGATTTATTGAGAGTTGAACGCAATAAACTCGGGTTGAACTGCGAGTACTGTTATAATGGCACTACGCGCGGTTACTTCTGTACCTTTGCGCGATTTTCAGCCATAAAGAACGATTTTGTCGTGTGGATATAAAACTTACCACTACCAGATTAGAACGTGCGTTAGTTACATCTCCGGTTTCTTTTGATGTACATTTTCAGGCAAAAAATAATTTAGTGCAGTAAAACTTAGATGTAACGTGCGTCTGAGGAGGCACAGCAAAAAACCGAAACTTTCTAGTTCTAGGTCTAGTGTTGTATATTTTTATTGAACTAAAAGTAAAACTAAAACTAAACATTAAAGAAACATTCGGGTTTAGCCGTCTTGAGAGACGCACTAACTACAACACGAACTATCACTAGCATTAGAACTACCACTAGACCTAGAACTAGAAACATTCAGGTTTAGCCGAACGTCTCTTAAGACGGCTAAACCCGAATGTTTCTAGTTCTAGGTCTAGTGGTAGTTCTAAAGCTAGTGATAGTTCTTGTTTTAGTTGTTATTCAGCGTTAGATTGTTGTATAGATTTCATTGAACCAAAACTAGAACTAACACTAGACCTAGAACAAGAAACATTCGGTTTTAGCCGATCGTCTCTTAACCCGTTGTGACTCGACGGTACTTTAAAGTACCGGCAGTTTTAAACATTCATTTTAAACTGTAGTCATCTATTCGGCGCGTTTAGAGCTGTCGGTACTTTCTACTATACAGGAAAGAATCTGTACAAAAAATGACGCAACCCGGACTGTAGGGTTTTTTGGTATATTTAATCTTATTCATTCAGATGTGAAGTTAGAAGTTTAGTGAAAAGTGGTGTTACTGAATTTTGTTGTTCAAAAAGGTATCTCTTTCATGCATGGTTATTAGGTGTATTTGTGTTTTGTATGTAAAAGTACCGTCAGGATAATAACAGGAACCATATTGAGATTGATATAAAAATGAGCCAAGCGAATACAGATGCGCTTTGGTTGAGGCTGAAAAAGTTTGTTTTGAATTAGAAGATCTCTCGTTGGATAATTCTGAACAGATAGACATAGAAGATGAAGAAGATGACACTGTTATTACTAGTGCTAGTGAGATACCTATGCTGGAAGATGAAGAAGTAGAACAACTAACTAATCAAAATGAGAAAGGTGACACTGAAGTAGTAGAAATACATGACAAATGGCCTAAGGAGAAGAACAAGGCAGAAATTGATAGAAAATGGAGAAAACAGAAAAGCAGACTGCAATTCCAGGATACGATTATCCAGAGGGAATAATATGCAACATGCAATAATCCTACTGATTATTTTCTAACACTGATGGGTAACTGTGTGAAAGATATTAGCTTTCAAAGTAATTTGTACGCCACCCAAAGGAATAAAACGCTAAATTTGAAAGGTTTTTGGCATAAATTTCTTAATAAGTTATCACAGTTTGCCAAACTATAAATTCTTCTGGAGTAATGCTCAAGACTTGAGTGTACCACTTGTCATACGAACAATGACCCATAACAGGTTTCAGGAGATTTTATCATATCTGCATGTCAACGATAACAGCATTATTCCTAAGAACAATACGGATATACTATACAAGATCCGTCCGTATTTTGAAACATTTAACCATCAGTTTTCCAGTTATTATCATGGCACTAGGCAGTTGGCTGTGGATGAATCCATGATAATCTTCAAAGAGAGGTCAAGTATGAAACAATTCAATCCCATGAAGCCCATAAAAAGGAGCTGATGCTTAGCATATAAAAAAGGATACATAAAGAAACTTCAATCAGGGAAAATCTCCTGAAACTGAAGAAAAATTTCAAGATTATGGATTGGGTGAAAGGATTGTCCTTCAACTTACTGAAGTAGAGTGGCATAAAAATAGAATGATTTATTTTGATAACTTTTTTACTTTTAGAAAAACTGAAAATTGAGAAAACCTTAGCTTGTAGAACAATAAGGTCTTACAAAAAAGGTGCACCAAAAATGTAGTAGATGATAAACGAATGAAAAGAAGAGATTATGATTACCAGATCTTAAATTTAGATATAAGTTATTACAAATGGAAGGACAGTAAGTGTATGAAATTTTGCTCTAATTTTCATGGAACAGAAGGGTCCACCATAAAAGGGTAACAAAAAAATCCTTCAGTCGTTGATGATTACAATAAAAACATGGGTTCGGCAGATTATGCCGATTAATTTTGACAAGTGTATGCATCGACCGCTGTTCTAAGAAGTGGTGGTACAGGCTTTTCTTTTGTTTTACAGATAAATGCTTCGTCAATTCTTTTGTCATATATTCTGTAAAGTTCACTAGCCCAGTTATCCAAAAGATGAAAGTACGGGTATTCTGTTACTGACGACGTAAGACTTGGGAACCGTGGTTCGCACTGGATTACTTTTGGAAAAGAAAAAGGAATGTTTGAAAATTGTTCTACCAAAGCTATTTAGTCCAGACCCCACTCAAAATGTACTACGTGCAATGTTTATTTATGTTGTAATGAAAGAAAGAACAGTTTTTTCTGAATATAATGTGATTTAGCTAACGCTTATTACTTATTTTCTAACATAATAAAAAATGTATTATTTTTATATTAACAATAAATGTTTTTGTATACTTACTGCAACATTACTAAAATATATTTTAATGACTGATGGTACTCTCAAGTACCATTATCCCCCTGGAATGGGAGACTGTCATATTTTGCTAAAATTGAATGATGGTCCAAAGGTCTTTACTGAGTGTATTTTGATAGCGTTTTAATTCTGTCACAAAGTTTCAAAATTTTTGACTTCTTTTGACACAAAGGGTTAATAGAATAAAAAAGAATAAGTCCACGATGATTATTTATTATTTTTTTCTAGTTTCGGTACAACAATGTTTCGCTTTTTCTAAAAGCGTCTTCAGGTACGACGTCAAAAACTAAGAATGATGAACACGTGAAAAAATGATCATGTGGAAAAATTTCTCTTACAAAAAACTACGACGGACCGATGATTAAAAATATAATTTTGGATTAAAGAAAAAAGTGAAATTTTTTAAAACGGCGTGGGTTTACCATGTCAGGTTAAAAACTCCAACGTCGAGTGATAGGTTAATAAAGTTTTGAAATGCTGAAGGCAGGCGTAAAAGAAACTGTGAAAGCTGAAGGCGTGTTATAAAAGGGAATTTAGCGTTAAAAATCGAAAAACTTGAGTCGTGTGCACATATCGACTGGTTACAACGGACAGTCCGTCCATTCTTAGTTTTTGACGTCGTACCTGAAGACGCTTTTAGAAAAAGCGAAACATTGTTGTACCGAAATTAGAAAAAAATAATAAATAATCATCGTGGATTTATTCTTTTTTATCCTATTAATACTCACCATGATAAACCTGGAGGCTACAATTGCCAATTTACAAAGGGTTAAGACAGCTAATCCTGAATGTTTCTAGTTCTACTGACAGTACTAGATAGCGCTAGTTAGCAGTAGATATCACCGTGTTGCATATTGTTATTGAATTAAAACTAGAACTAACACTAGCGCTGTTACTATGTAGAACTAATACTATACCTAGAACTACAATCATTCGGGTTTAGCCGTCTTGAGAGACGTGCGGCTAAATCCGAATGTTTCTTGTTCTAGGTCTAGTGTTAGTTCTAGTTTTGCACTATCACTAGAACTAACACAATCCCTACAACTAGAATCATTCGGGTTTAGCCGTCTTGAGAGACGTGCGACTAAATCCGAATGTTTCTAGATCTAGGTCTAATGTTAGTTCCAGTTTTAATTGTTATTCAGCGTTAGAAGCTTCAAAAATTTTGACTTCTTTTGACACAAAGGGTTAAGACGGCTAATCCTGAATGTTTCCAGTTCTACTGACAGTGCTAGATTGCGCTAGTTAGCGGTAGATATCACTGTGTTACATATTGTTATTGAATTAAAACTAGAACTAACACTAGCGCTGTTACTATGTAGAACTAACATTATACCTAGAACTAGAATCGTTTGGGTTTAGCCGCACGTCTCTAAAGACGGCTAAACATGAATGATTCTAGTTCTAGGTATAGTGTTTGTTCTTGTTTTACACTATCACTAGAACTAACACAAGACCTAGAACTAGAATCATTCGGGTTTAGCCGTCTTGAGAGACGTGCGGCTAAATCCGAATGTTTCTAGATCTAGGTCTAATGTTAGTTCCAGTTTTAATTGTTATTCAGCGTTAGAAGCTTCAACATTTTTGACTTCTTTTGAAACAAAGGGTTAAGACGGCTAATCCTGAAAGTTTCTAGGTCTACTGACAGTGCTAGATAGCTCTAGTTAGCAGTAGATATCACTGTGTTGCATATTTTTATTGAATTAAAACTAGAACTAACACTAGCGCTGTTACTATGTAAAACTAACACTATACCTAGAACTAGAATTATTCGGGTTTAGCCGTCTTGAGAGACGTGCAGCTAAATCCGAATGTTTGTTGTTCTAGGTCTAGTATTAGTTCTAGTTTTGCACTATCACTACAATTAACACAATCCCTACAACTAGAATCATTCGGGTTTAGCCGTCTTGAGAGACGTGCGGCTAAATCCGAATGTTTCTAGATCTAGGTCTAATGCTAGTTCCAATTTTAATTGATATTCAGTGTTAGAAGTTTCAACATTTTTGACTTCTTCGGACACAAAGGGTTAAGACGGATAAACCCCAATGTTTTTAGTTCTAGGCCCAGTATTAATTCTAGTTTAGTTGGTATTTAGTGCTCAGACACTCCCTTCCCCGTATTAATCTGTTATATCAAAGTTTTACTATACTTAATAAAAATTCTTATCAAGAAACTAACATGCGATATCTCTTCGGTCCATATCTAAACGCAAATAGTTAGAGGATTATTAAACATCCGTCATGCAAATTAAATATTTGCTTATTCTATTTTTTTTTAAATTACTTTATTTTTTTAAATTTATTTTTCAGTAAGAAGAACTCGATTGTTCTCAGAACGCAGCTGTCAGTGCGTGTCCACACCATCATAGGTGAGTACCCGTTTATAAAGAAGGGTCTTTTGTCTTCTGCATTTTACATTATCGGACGTGGGATTACTGAAGGTGACATCCGAAACCGCAACAAGAATTTGCAGAGCGGATCTTAAACTTTCAATTTTGCAACTTTGCAAGTATAATGCGCGGACAGTGCCGTAATTGTGATGAATTATTAATGCCGAACGGTTCGGTGACGCATTGTTTTAACGTGTCTCTCATTCGTGTAGGCGAAAGAATGTGATTTATTGATTTATTATTTAGCTACTTCAATTTATCCACTTCAATTTAACCACCTCAATTTATCCATTTCTATTTTCAATCTTATTCCCAACACAATTCTAAATTAGATATTACGCGAAAGACTAACAATTAAAAGTAGCTTAAGGCTCCGACGATATCTCCTTATTTATCCTTGGCGAAAGTCAAAGTAGCTACAAGATATATAATTTCGCACAACACCGCCGTTATTGCAATACGTGCTCTTATTTACTGTGCGAAATTTTTACTTCTCCATTAATTGCTTACGGTGAATTCAACTCCCACACAGAAACATTCCGAGATGTGGCTTAAGATTTACGTACGAACATGACTAAATAATGGATTGTTAAATGGTACTTTGCGATTACAATTACCTTTTTGATTTAGAAAAGATTGTGTCGACATCTCGGGATGAAAGTTTAATCGGCTCAATTAACTCGCGATGATTTGAGATTAGGCTCGCGAGAAAAATTGCATTATCCGAACGTTCTTTTTAATGCTCAATTTTAGCAAAAGTCGACATCAAAGTACCGACTCGACGGCGTGTATGTTTTAATGATGATAAAGCGTCCCGAGGGACGCGGGAATGTACGCGTCCATTGTGCTCGATCCCATTCTTCTTTATGATGCATGCGTGTCGCAAATTATTTCGTCGCGCGACGAGATTTTTGCGTTCGCGGAACGACCCAAACGATCCATTGTCCTGCGCAAGGACGAACCACGAAACGAGATTAACAACTCAAGACTGTGTCTTACACGACTGTCGTAAAAGTTACATTTTGAAACTCTCTTTTTAAGAGAGAATTTCTTTTCTTTTTTTGGAAGTTTTTGTGTGGTAAATTTATGCTCTAAATTCGAAATAAAATGATTTCTGCCAAGTCGACACTTCAATTTGTAAGCGTAATAAAGCGATTTTCCGTGACCGCAACAATCCAACCTCTGCCCCCATTCCACCTACAACGAAGACTCTATCTCGAATGGAGATCGCAAAACGTTGACGGGAGCGTGATGCACAAGGATAGTAGGTTTTTGGAACAAAGCCGAGCCAATTTCCCCATGCGAAAGGAACGAGCGCGTTCACTACATCGTTATAGTTCGCTTTGAAATTATCACATCTTCAACTAATGGACAATCGCTATCTAACCGATAATGAACTCATAACCGGCGGTGATGTTATTGAATCTAACCGGGGCAATAGGATCGGGTTCAACGATCCGGAGCGGCATCGGCATGGCTATTTGATGTCAGCCGTTTCGGAACCGGGTTTTTCACCACACTATGTCGTAAAAGATTTTATTCGAACGTTTGAGTTATCATTAGACATCTGCTGCAGTTTCGCAGTCCGTAATGGTCACTACATCCTTGCATTTTGCAATATGTGCGAGTTATTGCTAAAACACTAATGGGAATATAAGTAGGGTAAAAGTGTTGTGTTATTCTTATTTCGTTTATAGAGAAAGCTCGTTGTTTTAGTATTTATGTTTTAAAATAGAAGGGTGATACTTCATTTATTTCCTCGTCCAACAATTTTAAAGCTAAAGCAGTTAAATTTGACATTTACCAACTTATTTTACAACAACGAACATTTTAGTCCACCAACGCTAAATGTCACGACACCTATATTACCGGTTTATCCTCAAAAATGGGGATTCGATCTTTTTCTTTTATTCCCACACGATCAGAGATATAAAATTGCTATATATTGGCATAGAGACACCTTGTAATTCGTATATTTATGCACCGCTAATAATGAGTTGAACATAAAGTTGGAATTGCAGAATAGGAAAAGATTATATGTCAAATATTTCTGTTTAACAATTATTGGAAGGAAAGTGTTTATATTGAAGCTTATACAATTTATGATTTATAAAGAAGAAAAAAAGAAGAACTCTACCAGAAGATTTATCCGAAGATTTTAAATAAAGATCAGCGATTATGTTGGAAGGTATCAGGGACGATGTTGACACATGATATCACTATGTTAATAAATGACCCAACCTAACCACGCTTAGCCATAACAAGGACGATGTTGATGGATGTAGATAATGGAAGATGCCGCTTTAGACATTGTCGTGAAAAACTAGAGACGATGTTAGAGAACATCTAAAAAAAATGATATTTGTGTTTTGATTCCCTTTTATCATCGTATATCTTATAATCAAAGATATTCGCGCTTAAATGTAGTCACAAGCGTAAAGAACATCGTGGTCTTGTAGATTTAATAAAGTTAATACAAGTTGATTTGAACATTAAACACTTAGAATAAAAATTGAAGGAAGAGAAAATAAACTAATATGATAAAGAGAAAAAGAAAAATTGTATAACGTGGTTTCCTGAGGATGGCATTAACACGCCGAAACCAGTAGAAACTAAAAAATAAAAATAAAATCTTTCATCGTTAAAGTACGATGGTTATTTATTCACATTCATCTAGAATGATGTTAAGATATATTGATAGGGATGATGGATGATGGGGAAGTTATTGTAAAAGATGAAGTGGTGGGGAATAATAGAGATGATGGTAAGAAATGTTGAGGAAAAAACAGGGATGATAAGGACCTTTGGTACACTAGTTTTAGAATGAAATAAATAAATCCACATTTTTCCAGTGTTTTCGGCTTGCCAGATCTAGATGCTGGCATTTAATAGTAAATATGGAGCTTCTTCAGAACCGCATCCAGTAATAATGTTATATAGAAAAAAAACGCCCAGTAGCCAAACCAATATGCAAAATATCTTTAATCCTGGAAAATCCTTTACTTGTTATAAGTTACCTTGTTTCAACATGTTCACTCTTGGATGGGCAGTTTAAAGCAATGTTAAGACGTTAGACATGTTGGAATGTGTTATCGTGTTTTGATAAAGTTTGCTGGAGAGTTTCTGAAAAATCTGTTTGATTGGACGGATTTTGGTTGTGTCATGAAGATGTGGATTTTTGATAAGATAAGAACGTGTCGTTATCATAGGTTGCGAACTTGGTTTGAGGGATTTGATGGAGCTGACTGGTGGACTGATGGGATTATTTGATCTTTATTGATGATTATGATTATCCAGCGGTTTTCCAGATGGTGGGGAAGTGCTCGAGTTTGCAGTTGTTTTATGACTCTTTTGGGGAGGTTTTGAATAGGGATATTTGATATGTTACCAATGCCAGTTGCTTTGATTTTTTCTTATGTACAATAAAACCTCGTTAGAGCGAACTGGAAGGGTCCAAAGAATAACTGTTTCGTGGTAAACGATTCGTATAAACCGAGTAAACAATAAGAAAAGAGTAAAAAATAAAGTTTTTTGTTATTGAACATTTTTAAATTAATAACTAAACTATTATTTATTATATAAAAACATAACTAGGTAAATGTAGAAACTTATCGGTTATGATATAAAACTAAACTATTGATTATTGACTTTAAAAAAGTTAGTAATGTTTTTTTGTTTTAATTTTGAAGCCATTTTAATGGCACACTCTTTTACATTCATAGTTGCTGAAAATCTAGCTAGAACTCGTAAAGCGGCATTAACTTCTTCTCCGGTGGGCTGGGGATGATCATTAACTTCATCACTATCTATAGATAACAAGCATGTAGTTGTAGGAACAGGAATGTTGTTATCGCTATCTTCAAAAGTGCTCAAGACTGGCTCTGGACAACTGGTCAAATCGTAATCGGCATTAACAAAATCTTCAAATGAAATTTCAACTGGCTGTATCTCTTGTAAAACGATCCATTTTCTGGATGCTGGTGGTAACAAATCTAAATTTTCTTCATTTGTTAAATCAGTGTTCTGCCATGCTTTATTAAAACAACGTTTAATTGTTTGTTGACTAACTGCATTCCAAGACGAACCTATTGCTTTAATAGCTTGTAGCAAATCCCATTTAACATTTCCATTATTGTCAATAGCACGAATAGCAAATTTCACTAGTTTTGCCTTGTAAAATGATTTAAAATTAGCTATTATGCCCTGGTCAAGTGGCTGCAATCGACTTGTAGTGTTGGACGGAAAGAAATACAAAAAGTTTAGTTTTATGTGCAACACAGCTGTCTAAAGTTGAAAAAATATAACGATGTTGAGCAATCATCTTCTGATTTAGTTTGAGTAGCCATTCTCGAAACGCTTAAGCATCTATCCACGATGACACATGATGAGTATAATCATACGGTAAATGTGCTTTCTCAACATTTTTAAAGCATTGTGGGTTACGCGATTTTCCTATTACCCACGCCTTGTACTTTTCAGATCCATCCGAATTACAGCACAAAACTACAGTCATTCATTGTTTACTTTTTTGCACCTCCATGTTGGTATTAGGTTTAAATTTGTGGATGTCGTAAAGATAATTGATCAGGAAGTTCCCTTTTTCGTAGTCTTTGTATTTGAAGATATTTGCAAATTTCATACGGGATGAAGCAATCCTGGGAGTTTCGTTCTTGTGTTTTTTTTTTTGATTCTACGAAGTTCGGATTTGGAGTCTTTTTTGGAATTGGCAGCAAAAGTGATTTCGGTTTTGAATGAAAGTGACAATCAGAGGAGTCAAAAGGAGTTGGAGCATGCAAGTGAGATAATTTTATGATTAGAGGCATGACAGAGCGTTTTGCAGATTGGATGGCTGCAGTAAGGTTAAGGACTTTTCAAGAAAAAGCGAGTTGTGTTTTGTTCTGCCATAGAGAACCAAGTTTCATGCAAGATGGAGCGGTGGTCGGATTAGAGTTCGTCTTGGGCGACGAGCTCGGGTAAAGGATTGATGTTTTTGACAATTACGATATCAATTGTTGTGGGGGTCATCCTAGAGGTTGGGAAATGGGTTGGAGTGTTGGAAGAAGGGACGAAGGCGTCGTGGGCTTGGATGTGATTAAAGATTCTATGGTCTTTTGTGTTGGAGATACATCTCCAAGATAGTTGACGGGAATTGAAGACTTCTTGGATGTAAGTCGTTATTGGCTAGGGTGGTTTTGGAGCTATAAACAGTGGAGATGTGGGGGGTATTAGGGAATTTTAGGATAACGAAATCGAGATTTGGCTTCATTGATAAGGAGTATATCTATTATATGAGAGTTAGGGAATTCGATAGATTCAGTAAGCTTTGGGTTGATGTTATTTGAGTTGAATGTGACTACAGCTTCCCATAACAGAGAGAATACTGTCTTAACAGTTAAGATTACTTTTCTTATAGCACCAGGAATAACATTTCTAAACTGAACATTTCAATTTACAACTCCTATTAGAACATCTAGGTTAATAATTGGGACAGGTTTATAGAGATAGATTGGATATAGCAAAGAATCTTTTTCGGTTACCAAAGCTTTAATAATTTGTCAACCCAACCCAACCCAGTTCTAAAGTCAAATTTATCGTCATTTCGAAAGAGTTGCAGAAATGTTCTTTCTCTTGATTCATCTTTTTGTGAGATTATCTCATGCACTTTTGGTGCTTGAAGTTCTGATGCCTATTTGGATTAGAACCTCAGTATTTCTTCAGTGTCCTTTCACGACATTAATTACGTTATTACTTTTTTTCAATACTTATAGAGCTCACAACATTATAGTTAACAGTTACATAACACATACAAAAAGTATTTTTTAATCCCCGTAAGTTTCTTAATTTCATAATTATTACTTCTACTCACTTTGAATTTCGTCATCTGGAATGTTTTTTAACCTTTTAACGACTTAGGTAATAATTATCTGTAGTATAATACAAAGAAAGGACAAAAACTAAACACATACTTAGCATTCGTAAATACAGCTTTAGATAGCTACAGGTTCTTGTTTCTTTTGACGTCTTAATAGTTTAGAATTATGAGCTTGATCTTGTGATACGTACCACAATCGAGTCTTACAAAACATAAACGTGAAACGAAGGTTAAGTTTTTACCCTAGATCCATTAGCGGTAGTTTGTTTGAATAAAATAACAATAAAAGAGTTAGTTTGAGAAAGATCGGTTAATTTTAATTATATTTACTGAGGCCCCGTTGCCTAATTCCAGTTTTTACGTTGAATAAAACAAAACAATTTACATTAATCTTGAGAATTGCGAAAATCCGTCGCTACCTCAATTACGTTGTGAAATAAAATAAAAAGCAAGGCCGCGGTGTCGGTGCACCTTGTTCCCTGTTATGCAGCACTTAGCGGCGTTATTAATTAATTAAAACAAAAACGCGACAGTGTACACAATTAATCTTTTTGCGGACACGCAAACGGACGGGTCTCGATCTCGGTTTTATTCCTTTCTTTACCGAAACGCCATATAATTTATGTCTTCGAAATTTGCAACCAGACCTGTCTAGAGTCTCGACTTTTTCGCCGAATCTGTAATTAAATCGTCCACGAATCGGAAGCCTATTCGCCAAATCATGCCGCGAATCTTAATTGACCGTGCAGATTGAATGTTTTGATAAAGTTTCGATTATGAAGGAGCCCATTTAAATGAATATGCTAATAACTTCAACGTTATTATAAATCTTAATTAAAACTATCTTTTTTTGTTTCGCAGAAAAACTTCTAACGTCAGAAGGCAGAGAACTTCGACGCGCGCTTTTTTCGTTGAAACAAATTTTTCAAGAGGATAAAGATCTCGTACACGAATTCGTACAGAACGATGGATTGGCTTGTCTCATTAAAGTTGGATCCGAAGCCGATCAAAATTATCAAAATTACATTCTGCGTGCTTTGGGACAAGTTATGTTGTACGTGGATGGAATGAATGGAGTGATGGAACATAATCAAACCATTCAATGGCTTTACACTTTAATTTCGTCTAAATTTAGATTGGTTGTTAAAACAGCGTTAAAATTATTGTTGGTTTTTGTTGAATACACCGATACAAATTGTATGTTGTTAATAAAGGCCATTCAAACGGTTGATTGCTCGCAAGGATTGCATCCTTGGTATAACATAATGCGCTTACTGAAAGATTTCGATTCCGCAGACACCGAATTACTCATTTACGCAACCACTTTGATTAATAAATGTTTAAACGGAGTCCCAGATCAAGATACTTACTACGATCAAACCGATGCTTTAGAAGAACAAGGAATTGAGGCGATTATTAGAAGATACATGTCGAAACCAGGAACCGATTTAGATCTTTTACAACAATTCCAAATATACGAGGCTGTGCTTCAATACGAGGATGGCGAAGATAAAGGGACCCCGATAAGACATTTAGACGAAAACTTAAGAAAAACTTTAAGAAGTAGAAAATCGGTTGTTGACTCCACCGAAAGAAGGAAAAGCAGGCGACACTCGACGGGGAATACCCCAATTCACTCCGCTTTAATCACAAATTCTAGAAACAATAACAACACGAGTTTAAATCAAACCAACGAGGAAGAAGACGACGATGGATCCTCTAGCTCTCAATCCTCAGATATTAATAATTTAAATCTTAATGGAAGTTACAAAGATTCAAATAAAGGTAGTTAAAATAATTTTAATTAATTTAATTGTTAATTAATTCCTATTTTAGCTGGTGATGCCGGTGTTACCCCCGCTTTAAGGCGACGAAGAGAAAGAGCTGAAAGACAAAGAAGTTTTATGAAAGAACAACAAGAAAATGGGAGTTTATTAAGAAATTCAATAACACCGGGAGAAAATAACGTCGAAAAAGAAAATGGTAAATAAAAGAAATCAAATTTAATACTTAATTATTAATCTTTTATGTTTTTAGGAAACTGTAACAACACAAATGGGAATTTACAACAACGATTAACAAACGGAAATCACCACCAATCAAATCGATTATGTAGCAAACAAAAAGATTTAACCCCGCTGTTAAACGCAGTAAATAAAATTGAATCTGAAGAAAATGGTCTTACTAAGCAACCATGGATCTTCTCGAGAATGTATAGTAAATCCCTCGATGAAGAAACTCCCCAAATAGTCGACGATAACCTCGAAAACACCACGAACGAACACGATAGAACCCTCCGACTTCAATTAAAAAAAGAAAACAAAGTTAAAGATCTAACCCAACAATTATCAAGCCAAAACATAATCCACAGTCCCTCAGAAGAAAACAAAATAAGTAGAATCGGTGATATGTCAGGGCTAATTTCAAAAGCCAAAGAAGGACTGGCGAAATCAAAATCACAAGCGAACGTAATTAAAAGTCCCACTGTCGAGAATATCTCTAAACCGGAAGTGAAAAAATCCGAAAATGAATTACGATGGGAAGAGTTAGCTGCAAATATGAATAGACCTCTTAGTTTATGCGATTTGGATTTTCGAGATTTAGTTACTGATGATGAAAATGATGTTTTAGCACCCGCGGCGATTCAAAATGGGATTCCACCACCGCCTCCTCCTTTATTGGGGGATGTGGGATCGGCTCCACCACCTCCACCATTAAATAATAATAGGGCACCACCGCCCATTCCGCCCGTTTTTGGCGTGTCACTTCAAAAACAAAATAAACCAAACGAATCGAAAATACCTTTAAAGAAAAATAAGAAAACCGTGAAATTGTTTTGGAAAGAAGTCAGAGACGATCCTATTTGCGCGATGAAATTGAAATCGGGTTTCATTTGGGATGAATTGGCAAACGTTCAAGTGGATACGCAAAAATTGGAACATCTCTTTGAATCGCGAGCCAAGGATTTAATAAATAAGGTAAGATTTATTTCTAACTTTTCCTTTTCTCTTTATTACTTATTTTACATTATAATTTATTTATTAACATAAACATTTACAGTATTTTAAATAACATTATTTTCTTTATTTTTATTCAACAATTCGCTTCTTGCCGACATTTTTTTTAGGAGGTGAGTTTTCGTATATGTGAATAGAAATGTTACAAACGTCTTAGATATTTATGTCTCTGCATGGGTACAGAAATTGTAAAAAAACAATTTTATAAATCATAGATTTTTAACTTTAAAATTATCAAATCTTAAATTATTTATTAACATAATCGTTATTTATATGTTGAGGACACGAATTTTTAAGGAAATTGTTAAAGAATCGAGACTGCTTTATACACGATATTTTTTTGGGCAACCGGTTTTAAACTGATTGAATAACAAACAGAATAAATAAATTATGGAAAGTAAGTAAATATTAAACATCAAATAAAGTAAATTTAACATCTTTGTTTATTATTGACTTGCTAATGTAAGGTATTAATTGTGTTTGTTTTATTTAGTGTTTATGTCTTGCTTTTATCGATAGCTTCATTCAGGTAGTTTTTCATTGTTTAAGAATGAAATGCTTTTCTTTGAAATGGGGATACACTGATTTTGTTGTGGTGAAAGTTTTTTGAGTTGATTTATTGATGTATTCTGTTAATGACCGTTGTTTCTGGAAGATAACAACCAGATTTTAAATGGTTAAGATGACAATTTTGAAGCGTTTAAGTGTGTGTTTTAGATAGCTGTGAATCCGCATATATTATTATTTACGTTTGACATGGTTTAAGGGTTTCTGAGGAGTTACTCGTTTTAATTAAATGTAGGGCGAGATAGTTCAAAGTAATCATTTTATAGATGAGACCTTGTATTCAGTATTTTATTCTTTTTTCTCCCCTTATAGTTGTGCATGATTATTAGAGATACTAAAATTTTCTTTTTCTTCATCTAGTGTTAACAATTGAACTAACACAGTTCTAGGTCTAGCCACTAAAACTAGACCTAGGACTGTGTTAGTTCTAGATCTAGTGTTTTCACTAGAATGAACTCAGTTCTAGGTTTAGACGCTAATACTAAACCTAGGACTGTGTTAGTACTAGTGATAACAGCAGATCTGGAACTAACACAGTCCTAGGTTTAGCCACTAAAACTAGACCTAGGACTGTATTAGTTCTAGATCTAGTGTTTTCACTAGATGAACTCAGTTCTAGGTTTAGACGCTAATACTAGACCTAGGACTGTGTTAGTACTAGGGATAACAGCAGATCTAGAACTAACACAGTCCTAGATCTAGAGGCTAAGACTAGACATAGGACTGTGTTTTTTGTCTAGTTTTATTCGCTAGACCTAGTACTGTATTAGTTCTAGATCTGCTGTTATCACTAGAACTAACACAGTTCTAGGTCTAGAGGCTAAAACTAGACCTAGAACTGTGTTAGTTCTAGTAAAAACACCAGATCTAGAACTAACACAGCCCTAGGTCTAGTTTTAGTCACTAGACCTAGGACGGTATTAGTTCTAGATCTAGTGTTTTCACTAGAATGAACTCAGTTCTAAGTTTAGGCGCTACTACTAGACCTAGGACTGTGTTAGTACTAGGGATAACAGCAGATCTAGAACTAACACAGTTCTAGGTCTAGAGGCTACGACTGGACCTAGGACTGTGTTAGTTCTAGTAATAACATCAGATCTAAAACTAACACAATCCTAGGTCTAGTTTTGGTCGCTAGACCTAGAACTGTATTAGTTCTAGATCTAGTGTAATCGCTAGAACGAACTCAGTCCTAGGTCTAGTTTTAGTGGCTAAACCTAGGACTGTGTTAGTTCTAGATGTAGTGTTAACAATTAAACTAACACAGTCCTAGGGCTAGCCACTAAAACTAGACCTAGGACTGTATTAGTTTTACATCTAGTGTTATCACTAGAACGAACTCAGTTCCAGGTCTTGAGGCTAACACTAGACTTAGGTCTAGCCACTAACATAGTCCTAGGTCTAGGTTTAGCCACTAGCTCTAAGACTGTGTTAGTTCTAGATCTAGTTCTAGATTAGTACAACTTACACAGTTCTAAGTCTAGTGTTAGTTCTATATTTAGTGATAGCTCTAATATTAATGCTAATTTTAGGTTTATACACACCGGCTATAAAACCCAGTATACTTATAATTACTAACTTCTTTTATTGAATTTTCTTTTCTATTTGTATAAAAAAAACCTTTCATTTTGTAGAAAATTACAAATTTGTATAGCATTTTTGTCAAATCTAGATTCATGCCTAATATTTGTTTACTATAAGAGCTAAACTGAGGTTGCTAAATTGAAAGAGGAACTTTATTAGACTTAAATTCCTGCCTGAAAACAGATAGCCATGTGATATAGTTTTTAAGATGATATTTACAGAACAAGGTTACAACATTTAATTTTAAGTTGCTTGTGCAGCAAGCACTACTATGAGGGTAGTTTAAAAAACGTTATATTGAAAGAGATATTAATATTGTAATATAATATTCTAAGACCACAAGATTTTATCTTTATGCTGAGGTCGCTTGTGGGCGAGGTATTACATTGTAGGCTATTATTAAAAGAAATTAAATTCAAAAATGCATTTTTGCACCTTCAATATAATACGAAGGAAGCATTATTTTTCTAAAATCTCTCTTTCCCCAATTCATTTTCTGTTTCCAATCTCTTTCTGATGTCCTTTTATCTTATCAGTCTCGGTTCTATATTTTTTAATCAATTCCATTTTTTCTTCTCTGTACATTTATGTAGGTTATGAATGATACAACCTACTTGTATGAAGTTTGTTTATTAACTTTTCTGTCCTCAGTCTGATCTGATTTCCTTACTAGCTTAAACGTGTTCTCATCAGTCTGTCGTCTCCTCTTGAATTTTTACTGCATACTCTTGCCCTATGTCCTATTTTACCACAAATGTTGCATTTCTTATTGCACGCTGGACATTGTCCGTATTTATTGGTTTTATCGCATTTTCCACATGTCCTTATTCTTCTTCTTAATATTTTTAGTTCTATTTCTTCATTTTTTATGTTCATTTTTCTGCAATATCCTTTGTTCTGCATACAATGATACATTCTCTTTCTCGCCTCTACTAAGTTTTGCTACTACCAATTTATTTCCAACCATTCTGTTCACTATTTCATTTGCTTCTTGCATTTTCAGTCTCTAATCAGTCTCCTTTTCCGATTAGTTCCTATGTTGCCTTTATACTATGTTTTCAGTATTCCTCTTCTCTGTCCAGTATCTTGTTTTCATTTTCCAGTCTCTGATCAGTATCATTATATGTCACCAGAGTTTCTCCAGTGTTTCTCCTAGAAAGATGAAGAAATCTAGCCCTCGTCTTTTTCTTCAGTTTATTGTTCACGTTCAGTTTCTGCTAATACCTGCTTCTCTCTTGTCTCCCTTCTTTCTAATTATTAACTTTGTTGCGTTTCTAGTCTATGTTTAGTGTCCTGCTTTTCCGGACTCTGTTGAGTTCTGCCTTTTATTACCAACCTCATTCCACCATATCCACCATATCCTATAGATTGCTCCTTGTATTACAAGTCCCTTTCCAGTCTTTCTCTTCCCTATATAGCTTTTTGCTTGCCGCTTTCTGTGCAGTATTATTCTCTGCCACTTTTTTTCTATTTCTAGTCTTCTTTTATTTCTTCCAGTATTTCTGTCAATCTCTGTTCAGTATTTTCTTGTTATTACCACTCTCTTTCCAGCCTTCCTCCTCTGCGCCCACTTTCCTTCTTGTCTTCTAATTCTTCCAGTCTGTGTTCTGTTTCTTTTTTGCATAACAAGACTTTTTCCTATGTGCCTCCTCTTTGTCCAGTATCTTATTGCTCTTTTCAGTCTCTGTTCGGATTCATGCACCAAGTTTTATCTTTCAGCGTTTTCAAGCGGTTGCCCAAAAAACTATATTTAAAACTATTAAAACTTAAAAATCTATGATTAACATTTCACGGGTTCTCTTTTATCATCTTCATTTTTTTCCATATCTGTTTAACATTTTTATTAAAATTACATAACTATCTTTTTAGAAACAACAAGAATTGAATAAGAACAAAGAAATAATCGTATTAGATCCAAAACGTTCCAACGCTATCAACATCGGAATGACCAAACTTCCGCAACCAAGATCAATAAAAACGGCAATTTTAAAAATGGATGCTACCATTATGAATAGGGAGGGAATCGAAAAATTATTAACAATGTTACCTACGGAAGAAGAAAGGACGAAAATTCAAGAGGCTCAAGCTGCGAATCCTGATTTACCACTTGGAAGTGCGGAGCAATTTTTGTTAACGTTAGCTTCAATATCCGAATTACCTGCCAGATTAAAATTATGGGCCTTTAAGTTAGATTTTGAGAATACCGAAAGAGAAATTGCGGAACCATTGATGGATTTAAAGCAAGGATTTGAAGTTTTGCGTGTAAACAAAACGTTTAGAAGTATTTTAAGTACTTTGTTATCGATAGGAAATTTTTTGAACGGAAACGAAGTGAAAGGATTTCAAATTGAATATTTATCTAAGGTGCCAGAGGTGAAGGACACTGTACATAAACATTCGTTACTTCACCATCTTTGCCATATTGTTATGGAAAAGTTTCCGGATGCTTCTGATTTATATTCAGAGGTAAACAAACACCAAATTAATTAATTTTAATAATCAAATTTATTTTTTTTTAGATTGGTGCTATAACTCGTGCTTCTAAAGTAGATTTCGACGAATTAGCTTTAAATATTCAAAGATTAGAAGCTGATTGTAAAGCATCTTGGGATCACCTTAAACTGATCGCGAAACACGATGGCTCTAATATGATGAAAATTAAAATGTCCGATTTTTTGGCTGATTGCGCTGAAAGAATCATTTTATTAGGAATTATCCATCGAAGAGTTATGAATCGATTTCATAAATTTTTATTATTCTTAGGAATCCCTCTGCATCAAATAGCCGATACAAAACCAAATGAATTTTGTAGAATTATCTCCGAATTTGCTTTAGAATATCGTACAACAAGAGAAAGAGTTTTACAACAATTAGAAAAGAAAGCGAATCATCGCGAAAGAAATAAAACTAGAGGAAAAATGATTACAGAGGTAAAAATTTAATTTATAAATTGATTTTTAGATTATTTAATGAATATTTTTAGACGGGTAAATTTCGTACAAAAGAAGATAGAGCTGATGCTGAACTTCGCCAACTACTCGGTAGTGATATTTCCGATGTAGAAAGCCTTCAAGGAACACTAACTTGGAGAAGAACAAGGCGTGAGTCAAACCTGAATAGATCATTTTTGGGCCAAGTTAATGGAAATATTACGGATGGTGATGATGAGATTTTAGAGAGCTTGGTTAAGAACGCAACCAAAGGTCCAACAAGAACGGCACCGAGAGAAAGAAAAAGGACAAGACATGCTGATAGAAAATCGCGTAAGTTATTAATTTTTTTCTTAAGTATTAGTATGGTAAGAAAATTTTATTATATATTTTATTATTTATCGTTGTTAGTAAAACGATCACGAACAAGAGAAAATAATCCGTTTGGTAGCAGAGATTCTCCATAAATTTTATTTGGTATGTGGTGTGTGGATTAAACAAAATAAGAAAAAAATATATAGAAGAACTAATAAAAACTAACTTATGTTTCTTTTAATTAATTAATTAATACAGCATGGTTTTGCTAAGTTTTAATTAGATAAGTTAATATGGTTTTTGACACAAGATAAAAGACGTTTTTGAGGTAACTTTGAATTTGTTGTTTATCATGTCAGATTTTCATTTTTATCCTTTAGTAATTTTTTTGAATAAATATTGTTAATACAACTTGTTGATACTTCCCGCTTTTAGGTTTTGAGTTATTTTAATTAGAAGTTTTTTTTAGCAATTAACACTGCTTTTTTAAATCTGAATTTAAACACCCTGTATCTGACTAACTTATCAAATACAGAATTTAATTCTGTACAAATCTTCAATACATGTCTCTATCCTGGCAGTTTTTGAGATATTGTGGAATTAATCAAAATCATGCAAAGAATGGCAGATCTTATTCATTTTTTCATTAGTAGGACTGAAATAAGACCATGAAAATATGTGATTATGCATTAATAATGATTTAAAAAAGAAAATAATAAATAATTCTCAACTAAACTTTATTTATAAGTGTTCAAATATCTTCCCTCTGTGCTCTATGCAGAGACAAAGCCGATTTACGAATTCGGTTTGTACAATCAAGTGTTTCAGCAGTGATATTTTTAAAGCTTTCTCTTATATTCTATTCTTCATATCTTCTTTCGTCGTGAATATTTCTTTCAATGCTTCTTTCGTGACCATCTTTTTTGACGTATCCTCAAAGGAAGAAGTCTAATCCAATGTTTCTTATACCGAATATTTAAAAAGTTTTGCTCTGTTAGCAAAATCATCTCCATGAAGTTCTTGGTGATTCAAATGATATGAATGGTAGTTGTGAAGCCTTATAATACGGTTTACTGAGCTTTTACTCATATCTATTGTTCTAGCGATCTGGCATAGCTCACATGCGAATTCTCTTGCAAATTTAATAAAACATTTAGTTCGTTGTTCTCTTCTCGAACCACATACGACTTTTTTCGACGTTTAGGTACGTCGACACTTCCAGTATCATCAAATCTACATAGTATATTATCGAAACATCGCCTGCACGGAAGTTGGGCATTTGATTATCTTTCACGATATACTCTTTGAGTAAGAAGAGTATTTTGCTATCCTTTACATGATTTTGATTAATTCCGCTATATCTCAACAACTGCAACAGATAAGTATAGGGATATGTACTGAAGATTTGTAGAGAATTAAATTCTCTATCTGATAAACTAATCAAATATGGGGTGTTCCATTTAAAATATTCGAGTTTTTTGTAATTGAATATGGTAAAACAGTTAGTTATATTTTTGAACACTCTTTATAAGATAGATGTAGCCAGTAGCTCTATTTAAGGATATTCAAGCAGCAACTTTTGCAAGTTTTAACTTTTTAGCTCGATCAGTCGCTAAGAAATTCAGATTTAAAGGACGCAGTGTTAATTGCTAAAAAAAGTTTTTAATTAAAATAACTCATATTTGATCAAAGTCAACATACTTTTGTGTGTAGAATCAGAACACGCAATAAAAATTGTATCATTCCATTTAAAATAACATATATTTATTTCGGTACGTCCTTATGGTACACTTGTATGTATAAAAATATTTTCCGTTTATCGTGTGATAAATTTCCTACAACTTTTGTCTAAGGAAGAACTGTGTATTTTGACTCCTTAATGCCATTTATGAACTTTGCCGCTTACGTGGGACCTTGTATAGTACCATCAGTTGTCATTAAATCACGCCAAGTTGAATACATACTTCGGTAACTAAAAAGCAGAAAGTTATAACTATAAATTTTTGGCAGTGTCAGAACCTTTCACTTTTACTGCTTCCTTCTCTTTATTTTCATCATCATAATCAATCCTCTTTATACCCTTAGGTGTTCACGGTTTCGTGTCTAGTTCTCTATTCAACTGTGAATAGAGAAACAAACATTCTTGAAACAACATTTTTCCACTTTTCTGTGTTAGCTGCCAACTTCATTGCTTCTGTCCAATTTATTTTATTATTATTTATATTATTATTTCAATCACTCTCCTCTCCTATTTCGTTTGCTTCTTGCATTTCAATCTCCTCTCTTTCTCCGATTACCAGTCTCTTTCCAGTCCTCCTTCTCTCTAATTAGTAAGCTTCTTGCGTTTCTAGTCTATGTTTAGTGTCCTGCTTTTCCAGACTATATTGAGTCTTTGTCTTTTATTACCAACTTTCTTTCTCCTTCTCTCTGTACAATGTGTATTTTTCATTTGCCAATCTCTTATCAATATCTTTATTATGTTTCCAGTGTTTCTCCAGTGTTTTTCCTATAAAGTTGAAGAAATGTAGTTCGCTGTTTTTCTTCACTTTCTAGTCCATGTTTAGTTTTTACTAAACCAAAATTTTTCCACTTTTCTGTGTTAGCTGCCAACTTCATTGCCTCTGTCCAATTTATTTTATTATTATTTATATTATTATTTCAATCACTCTCCTCACTATTTTGTTTGCTTCTTGCATTTCAATCTCTAATCAGTCTCTTTCTCCGATTACCAGTCTCTTTCTAGTCCTCCTTCTCTCTAATTAGTCAGCTTCTTGCGTTTCTAATCGATGTTTAGTGTCCTGCTTTTCCGGACTATATTGAGTCCTTGTCTTTTATTACCTTTTTTTTATTTCTTCCTCTTGCTCTCTGTACAATATATATTTTTCATTTGCCAATCTTTTATCAATATCTTTATAATGTTTCCAGTGTTTTTCCTATAAAGTTGAAGAAATGTGGCTCGCTGTTTTTCTTCACTTTCTAGTCCATGTTCAGTTTTTGCTAATACCTGTTTCTTTCTAATTAGTAAGCTTCTTGCGTTTCTAATCTATGTTTAGTGTCTTGCTTTTCCGGACTATATTGAGTCTTTTATTACCAACCTTCTTTCTCCTTCTCTCTGTATAATATGTATATTTCATTTGCCAACCTCTTATCAATATCTTTATTATGTTTCCAGTGTTTTTCCTATAAAGTTGAAGAAATGTGGCTCGCTGTTTTTCTTCACTTTCTAGTCCATGTTCAGTTTTTGCTAATACCTGCTTCTTTCTAGTCCTGCTCCTCTCTAATTAGTAAGCTTCTTGCGTTTCTAATCTATGTTTAGTGTCTTGCTTTTCCGGAATATTTTGAGTCTTTTATTACCAACCTTCTTTCTCCTTCTCTCTGTATAATATGTATTTTTCATTTGCCAACCTCTTATCAACATCTTTATTATGTTTCCAGTGTTTCTCCAGTGTTTTTCCTATAAAGTTGAAGAAATGTGGCTCGCTGTTTTTCTTCACTTTCTAGTCCATGTTCAGTTTCTGCTAATACCAGCCTTTTTGTAATCTTCCTTCTCACTAACCAGAAAGCTTCTTGCGTTTCTAATTACTGTTCAATCTCCTCCTTCCCTTTCCGGAGTCTTTACTACTTCAGTTTTATCCTTCTATTACTACTCTACTTTCAGTCTTCCTCTTCTCTTTTTGTTTTTTCATCTCCATAACCTATCCTCTTTATCCCCATAAGTGTTGAATCTTTCCAGTCTTGTTTTTTTCTTGTCCTGTTTGAAACAAAATGTTTCCTAACTATTTTATGTTAGCTGCCAACTGTTAGTTACAAAAATCTCTCTCACGCTATTGTTTCACTTGTCGCAAAGTTTTCCTCTCTTGTTTCTACCCTCTGCCTTAGCTTGCCAAATCTTATTCACCTGTCTGTTATCCTCCATACTTACTATATGCCCATACCATTAAATAGTTGTCTTTAGATGGTTAAATTTAATTAAGTATATACTTGCATGAATCTTTCAAGCTAAATAAAATATATAAATGTGTTTGACAAAATGAACATTGTGATATATCATATTTTGAAAATCTGAGCTAATTATTAATTAATGTTCCTCAAATTTATGTAATTAAATCAAAATACAATCTTTTGTATCTTGTGTCAAAACATTTATCAATATATTTGTTATAATCAAAAAACTAATTAATAATTTTCTTTTTAATAGTGAGAAGAACTTTAAAAAATGGTTTATCTGAAGAAGAGAAAAAACATTTATCCGCATACATTAAGGGGTATTGAAGAAAGGACTGTGGTGACGAACAACTACGAATTATACTTTTAGGTTCTTTTTTTCTATTTCTAATTTATTTGTTAGTTTTTTTTTAAAGTGCATCGTTATGATGTACCGTTGTATACTGATTTTATTATGTGATACCCTAAACTATCTCCTACTTATTTTGTAATTGTAGCATTAACATCAAATTGGTACCTACTCTACAATTACAATTGCCTACAGTTTTGTTTTACTTCTCAAACTATTTGTTTATTATTTAAAATATAGCGGCCGCCCTTTTCGAGTTTTGTTAATGATTTTTACGCGCTCGATTTATTATTATTATTGTACATTTTTACACTAAACTATTTAGTAAAAGAGAGCTCTTGCGGTATTTGAAATACTCACTTCCTCGTTTTTTTATTATTACATTTGGCCCTTTTTTGTTTATGTTATAATATTAAGTATTAAAAAAAGAAATCTTGTAAACAATCTTGTATAGTATATGAAATAAATTTGTTATAATATAAAAATTATATCGAGGTATTTCTTTTAAATTAAGAACGAATGATTTAAAATTGTTATAAAAAAAACTTTATTTTTACATTAAAATCGACATACATTAGAAATAGTACCAGGAATAATAAATGCTTTTTTTTAATAACTTTTAAGAGATAACAATATCAAAAACTTAAACTTTATAAATATTTAAAAAAATAAACAACCTCACTCGAACAAGAAAAAAAACGGAATGTTTGAACTTTTATACAAAACTATATGAAATAAAAAATATTGGTAATCCGTAAAAACTAAAATTAAAAAAAAATACACCCATCGTTGTTAAAAGGAAATAAATATTCATTTATACGGCACATCGAAGCTGAGATCTTTTACTTTTTTTAAGGTCCCAGATTCAATATAGCAACAACATATTCGCCGTTTCATTTTTTTTTAATTTCTATTTTTACAGCTCGTCGTGTTTCGGTCCGGAAAATTCATCATGCGATATGAATCCATTTTTGTCTTTGTCTTCGTGTTGGAAAATTTCTTCTACTAATTTATCATGATCCGCCAACATATTTTTTACCTCCTCACTCGGTTGTTCGCCTTCGGCGGCCACCATTTGTTTTTTTAAGTATTCGCTTACCTGGAATAAAAATTAAATAAGTAATAAAATCGTCGGTATAAAATATGGAGTATAAACTAATATAAAATCCTTGTTACACGTTCAGCTTATTCATCCAAGGGAGGTTTATATAAATATTGATGTGGATCGTAGTTATGATTCATAGACTCATATGCCCTGAATATTCAAATATTCATTACTGTTAGTATGCTCTTGTTTCTTATTTTGATGTGTTCCTAACTATTCGAGGGGTTAACGAAAAATAAATACTCGATTATGATGTAAATTAGTAGAGTGTATGAATAATAAATTTTTATGAATAAGTCATTATCACTTTTTTTTCGTTAAGTAATGGTTAAAAGAATATTCTTTTTAGATAGGGTGTCACTCTCAATCAATAATAACAAGAACCACATAAATATTAATTCTTTTGTCATGCGGGGATGAAATTCATACTGAAACACACATCTAGTTTTGCTAAGGACCCTACAAAATGTTTACATCTTTACTTGCTGACTTGAAAATAATATTTGTGCGATCTACAAAGGTAGCAGTCTTCATACGTGAGATATTCACTATTTTCGATAATATCAATAATTTTGTCGGTTATCAATAGGATTATGCTTCGTAAAGAGAAGGAGATTGATTTGTTGTAGCAGAAATTATATAATGACAAATCGAGCAACATCTTATCGCAAGTACTAACTAGAAGAGATTTGAGATCTTATTAGACTAACCTCGATCAACCCTGATTAGGTTTGGTGCTAAGAAGAAACTGAACATGAAGGCAACTAACAAAGTAAGAAGAAAGTTAATATATACGTAACCAAAACTACCAAACTCAGGTTTTGCAATGATGTTAGGAAATTGGCAGAACTAAAACGGAAAGTTTAGTAAGAAACGGAGCAAACTCCAGAATAAAAGCTATAAAGAGAGAATATTGGAGTAAAACATGACATCAAAAGAAGCCATTTTCTTGATGGAAGATTGAGAACTCACGCTAGTAAACATGTATAACATAAGAACTATTATGCAGATAGAAGAAGTCAAAGAAAAACTTGTAAAAGTGAAAGACAGAAAGTCTCACGGCACTGACAACATACCTAATGAATTGCTCAAATATGGAGGAACAGAACTACAAAAAAAAAAACTGTTTAAACAGAGTATTGTGCCAATCAGAAATACCATTGGAACGCCGTAACAGGATCAGGACTATGTGACATATTCGTAGCCACGTCCATAAAATTCCAGATGACAAACTGCCGATAATTGTGCTTCCCCAGAACCAGACCACCGAAGAGATGAAGAAACAGCTGGCAGTAGAGAAAGAAGATCTTCTTAACTAAGGAAGGCTTAAAACAATGTTTCAGTTCTAGTTTTCGAATTTTCGATCAGTTTTACCGTTTTTGCTATAAAGTACTGTACTTCCATAGGGAACAACAGTTCATTTCTTCGACTCATATCTGACTCAAAAAGCACACTTTACAATTTTGCATCACTCAGATTATTGCCACTTTCTTGAATTTCATTATGTTTGGGTTCCTCATGAATTACACAAGAAGATTTCATTAGAGAGAGGATTAAGTGTGACAACCATTTCTTGACAACAAAAGTTTAGACGTGCTGATTAAATTTTCAATGCCTGAGCTTTGATGTACAAAGAAGAACAATTTGTCATCAATGTTAGAAAAATTAATGACGAAAGAATAAGTCTTGGAGGACTTGCTATGCACGTTAAGAAGACAGTTATAAAACTGCAAACTCCTTGGTGTCAAAGTGAGAATAAAATGTAGATGTAATAAAAATGTGTAAAAAATATTGTTCCAAAATTGGAAAGAAATAAATCGATAACATTACAGCGTGTGGACATATATATACATATTCAGACATGTATTGTGCATAATTCTTGCAAAACCTAGTTTTTATCATATCTATCATAATAGAATAAAGACCAACCCAAGGCATATTATGATAAATCATAGTTTTAGAAATCCAACAAGCGCAAGGAAAAAGCTGTCATCAGACCATAATTTTTATCGAGACCAATGTGAGAGTACATACAGCCTCCAACAGGCCAATAATGATATATGCTATTGATAGTGCGCAGGAAGACGTAGCATAAATCAGAGATGGCGATGTTAACAGCTAAGAAACACATTATAGGATCAAAGGATGTGCGCAAGGAGACTCTGAAATGAGCACGTTTCACCAATGAAAAGGATTACACTGCTGAGAATTGCCAAAAATTGCAGACCAGCATTCAAAAACCCGCTAGACGATCTCAAAAAAGATTGCAACAACCTTTATGGATTCCGGAAAGAAGAAAAAGAAGATGTTTAGGAGGAAGAACCAGATTGATATGAATCATTTCAGAAAGAATGACGAAAAAAATAATCTTGGAGGACTTACGATGCACGTTAAGAAGAATAAAACTGCAAACTGATTGCTGTCAAAGAGAGAATAAAATGTAGATGTAATGAAAATGTGTAGAAACTATTGTTCCAAAATTGGGCAGAAATTTAGTGAATCTTAAAAACGAAGTACCAAGTCTTTTTCTTAATTATATAAATCGATAACATTATAACGTGTGGACATATATATATTGAGACATGCATTGTGCATAATTCTTGCAAAACCTAGTTTTTATATCTATCATAATAGAATAAAGACCAACCCAAAGCACATTATGCTAAATCACACATTATAGGATCAGAGAAGAGGTAAGGAAATGTGGGAGGAATGCGAGATGGAACATGTGGTAAGATTGATCTGCGCAAGGAGACTCTGAAATGAGCACGTTTGACGAATGAAAAGGATTAGACCGCTAAGAATTGCTAGAAATTGCAGACCAGCATTCAAAAGGCCGCTAGACAATCTCAAAAAAGATTACAATAACCTTTATGGCTTCTGCAAATAAGAAAAAGTAGATGTTTAGGAAGAAGAACCAGACTGATATGAATCATTTCAGAAAGAATACACAATTAGACTAACTTCACCTAGACTAACCAGACAACATTTTCATTAACCACACCACAAACGATACAAACAAAAGAAAATACGCTAAGTACTGTACTAGCCAGATTTATCTACCTCCCTTATATTTCAGGTATGATGGAGCAGATTGCAAGTTGCCTACAGAAGAATCTACAGAAGAATATCGTGGTATGATACGGTACGGTCAGCAAAATTCGTACTCCATTAATGGGACCGGGAGTCTATTGGCTATCATACACTTGTGGGAAGTATTATGTTGGCCAAACTGGACGTAACAACGCCCCTACGTAACAGTAATCGGAACAGTGGCCCTTCGATTCATCCATGATTTCTAGTCTACCATTATCAAGGAGCTGTAACGTCTTGATACATAAACATGGAGAAACTCACATCCACATAGTCAGGTATGCAAAATTCTCGTAATTAAGGAGAAATGAAGTAAAATTGCTTTGGTTGCCAGGACTTGTGTAGAGATGCAAATGCATTAGTTATGCCACAAATTTGGAAAAATTGCATTAGACATGGTAGGAAACTGACAATAGATCTTGTCGGTACTGCAATACATGAAAAATAGGTTAATATGGATGAAAACGATGATAATACTTTATCACAAAACCTCTTTGAAATAATGTTTGGTGAACATGAAGAGATATTCCGTTAATTCCTGATTACCTTTTGAAATAAGTATTGTTTAAATTTATTCTGAATTATTGATGATTATATTGATATTGGTATAATGATACATCAAGAATCTTGTAAACGTAGGCGATTAGCTCAGAGCTCGTTTTATTGCCAATATTATTAATGAGAGTTTTATGATTCCCTATTAATCAAAATTTACGCCGATACATTAACAGAAGAAAAATACTATTTTTATATCGTTTTAGAATAGAATGAGTCATTAAGCACGCCACATTTAAAATATCTTGGAAGTCATAAAACCATAAGTAATTCTAAATGATTCTTTTATGATAAATACTGAATTTAAATTGATTTTTAATGAATCTGTTTTAAATATATAAAGAATACAAAAAAAAGAACATACCTCCTCTCTACTAAGTTGATTATCTTTATCGTTGTCGATCTCCTTGAACACATTAGTGGTAGGCGCCGAGTCGCCGATGTTAATCAATTCGACCTCGAAGATAAGGGTGGCTCCACCGGGGATAACGTTTCCTGCTCCCCTATCTCCATAACCCAAACTCGGTGGGATAGTCAATTTGCGCTTTTCCCCAACACACATGTCGAGAAGTCCCTGATCCCAACCTTTGATCACCTGACCCACACCCAATTGGAACGTAAAAGGTTGATCTCTATCCAAACTAAACAAAAAATAAAGGTAAATAAAAATACAGGTTTTATTAATCAAATTATTTTTTAATTTTTAACCCTCTCTTTTATAAATTGGCGTATAATTGAAAATGAAAAATTCAAGGATGGGCGAAGATATTCATAAATAAATTACGCGTTCGGGGATATAACCTTTCGTCGCGAAATTTAATGGAGTTATTCATATCTAATTCAGTTATTTTTATTTCAAAGGTATCCCAAGAAGAAATTATTAAAAGATAAAAAAGTAACGTGGTGTTATGAGAGTTGAGTAATATCAAAAAGAAAAAACTTAAAACGATAGGAAGCTTTTGCACCCTCACATATCTTTCTAATTAAAGCATACCCTTTTTAAACCGTCCTACATTCACGGCCCTCGGGCCGTTAATGGGTCGATCCCGTGGCTCGAACGTGTCGTTTGATGATCCGAACGCAGCAGGAAAAAGTCGGAAGGGAAATTTAATAACCTCCTGTCATTGCGGTAACTGAACCTCTAAAACCTGCGTAGGTTTTATCAAGGGTTCTCTTTATAGTTTCAAAGTGCATATTTTGATGTTCCATTAAATAACGAGTTCATTAACATGCCTAGTTTTCAATTAACTAATGTATTCCTTAATGTTCTTAATACGTTCCCAATATTGGACGAGTTTTACCAATGGAAAAAACGAATTGATGTTTGTGGTTTAAAAACTTTTTGACATGCAATACGACGATAAACTTTTATTCTTACTTACGGTTCTTGTTTCAAGCTTTTATTTCAAATTTTTATTTCCGTGGGAAATTGGAAAAGGTTAATTTATAAATTTTAAGGCAATTGGAAATGAACTAAAAAAAAAGTATGCAGTGCGGAATTTACAAGTGGCGCGGCGGGGTATCGTCGAGTTGTTAACTAGCTCGTAAAAACCTCCCCGCAACGCTAAATTAAAACGTTTGGGCGCGAGTGCGCACATAAAATTAAACGGGAGAGATTGTCTTGGCCGCGATTTTAATTATAGTTTGGTGCTGCACAACGTTTCGTGCATTAGTAAATTAAATCGCGGTTTCCCGATGTTACGCTTGGAAACAAATGAATGGAATCATCAAAAGCTGATGCGAAATGTCGACGCAAAGATATACTTGTATTTCAACAGCTTTTGTTTGCATATTTAAAATAAATTAAATGAAATTAAGTATACCGGGAATTTCATATAATTCGCAATATATGAATCCAGTAATCATAGTTATGAAGCTAATATGTACTTGCACTGTCCCACATAAAAACTACTATGTATAACTAGAACTAACACTAGAATTAGAATTAGAAACATTCGGATTTAGCCACACGTCTCTCAAGACGACTAAACCCGAATGATTCTAGGTCTTGTGTTAGTTTTAGTAATAGTGCTAGTGTAAAACTAGAAATAACACAAGACCTAGAACTAGAATCATTCGGGTTTAGCCGTCTTGAGAGACGTGCGGCTAAACCCGAATGATTCTAGTTCTAGGTTTTGTGTTAGTGCTAGTGATAGTTACAGTGCTGGTGTAAAACTAGAACTAACACTAGACCTAGAACCAGAAAGTATCTAATGAAGAGAGAATGTTTCTAGTTCTAGGTCTAGTGTTAGTTCTAATTTTAGTTCAATAAAAATATGCAACATAGTGATATTTAATGCTAACTAGCGCTACCTACAACGTGCCAGCCGTCTTAAGAGAGATACGGCTAAACGAAATGTTTCTAGTTCTAGGTCTTATATTAAGATGAATATTATATGTACAGGGTGGTTCAAATTCGATGTCCGAATAGGCTAACTCGGAAACTATAAGAGTTAGAAAAAAAGTAGCTTACATGTCATGATCTCGTTTTTCGAGAAACTGCTAATGCCGAAAACCTCATAGCGCTATCGTCTTTTGTTTTTCCCCTAGAGGCCAAAGTTGAAAATATCGTAAAACCAATAAGTGCAATTATCTTGGTTATTATTATAGGTGGAGTATTATAACTACGACATTATATGGACACTTTTTTACAGAGAATTTCATGACGTAGTCAAAAAAATTTTGTCGGTTTTAGATTTTGAGATATTATGACAATTTTCGTTTTTTTAAATGGAAACAACCACTGATTATTCGCTTATTAAATTCGTTATTTTTTTCTGATTACAAAAATATAGGGTTCGACAGGTCTATTTCTTATTGTTTTAGAATAAAGCTAAAAATAAACTTTTTTTATAAAATTTCCATCTAGTGTCGTCGAGGAAATTAAATTTACAGTTTCCTGTAAGTTACGGGGCGGTAGGTAAAATCTAAAAAGTTAACAATTAAATACGAAGATAACTTCTGGTATTTAAAAACAAATAATTTTTTAATATGTAACATTCTAACATGTCAAACTTTTCAAAATTTTCGTAATTGATCTTAAAAACAGGATTTTTAAAGTGACACTTCAGAAAATTTTTGAATACAAACAAATGTTGCTATGTTTATTTGAATTAAAAAAAAACATATGAGCGCCATCTATCGATAATTTATTAAGTCATTTAAAAATAATATTAAATCGTAATAAAAAATGTGAAATAATGCAATCTATTCCAACTTTTGTGTAAAACATATATAAATTAAACAGTTCAACAAATATATTTGTTTCAAATATCAGAAATATGTTTTTTTAATTTTTAGTTATAGAACCGTAATTTACAGGAAACTGTAAATTTAATTTCTTCGACGACACTAAAAGAAAAGTTTATTTTTAGTTTTATTCTAAAACAATAAGAAATAGACCTGTCAAACCCTATATTTTTGTAATCAGAAAAAAATAACGAATTTATTAAGCGAATAATCAGTGGTTGTTTCCATTTAAAAAAACGAAAATTGTGATAATATCTCAAAATCTAAAACCGACAAAATTTTTTTGACTACGTCATCAAATTCTCTGTAAAAAAGTGTCCATATAATGTCTTAGTTATAATACTCCACCTATAATAATAACCAAGATAATTACATTTGCGGGTTTTACGATATTTTCAATTTTGGCCTCTAGCGGAAAAACAAAAGACGATAGCGCTATGAGGTTTTCGGCATTAGTAGTTTCTTAAAAAACGAGATCATGACATGTCAGCTACTTTTCTTCTAACTCTTATAGTTTTCGAGTTAGCCTATTCGGACATCGAATTTGAACCACCCTGTACATTTAAACAGCCAAATATTAAATTCGTTAAAAGAGATTTTGCAACGATTAATAATTAATAATTAAATATTATAAATAAAAAAAATATTATAAATATTATATAATACTTAAACATTCATCAACACCAACCATGATAATAGGAGACCTAAATAGTAAAAACCAAATTTAGGGATGTAGAGCCAACAATCCTAGCGAATGTATCCTAAATGGTATACTTACAGATATCGAGTTATTAATACATGCGCCGGATATCTTAGACGTACTAATTACCAAACAGATATCAACTCCCATCGAGCAAACAATAGTACATGAATTAAACTCGGACCATCTGCCTATTGTAATGTCAATGGCCAATAAACCTAAATATAAATGTTGGTATGTTGCATTAATTACGGGTATGGTAAATTGGGAAAATTTCAGAAAAGAAGTGATAAAAATAAGAATCCCGATATCAACATAACAACACCTTGTGATGTTGACAACAACCTGAGGATTCTTACCAATAAAATAACTACATCAGTACGCAATAGTATTAAGCCTACCAAAACAAATATTAATCCTAATTACAACACTCCTCCAGCTTATATAATTGAAATGATAAACCAAAAAAGACGTACTAGAAGAGAATGGCAGAGAATTCGAGATCCAAAAATTAAGAGAAAACTGAACCAGTTAACAGACCAAATCACTGACGAATTGAACCAACATCGAATAGATTCTTACAATAACTTCAATCAAAAATCTAACGACCAATGATCCAGGAAAAAAGGGGAACCAATTCCAACATTAATCCATCAAGAGAACACTTTTACCACAGATGCTGATAAAGCCGTAGGTTTTTCAAACTATCTTGAAAAAATATTCACTCCACAATTTTCAAGAGCGAATTACACATTCACAAATAAAATTCAACAGTATATAGAAGCTAATCTTCCAGTTAATAAAGCCACTACTGATCATACCACCCCTGAAGAATGCTTACCAATAAAGCTCCTGGTCACGACCTTATCCCGAATTCAGTGACCAAAAATTTACTCAATCAGACTGTAAATACATTAAGTTCCATTTTTAACATCTGCATAAATCTGAGATACTTTCCTAACACCTAGAAAGAAGCTGAAATATTAATGTTTAGGAAACGTGGCAAAAATAAACGTGAAATCGAAAATTACAGACCTATTAGTCTGCTTCCTACCATGAGTAAACTTTTTGAGAAACTGATTTTGCAACGTTTACGATCCAAAATCACAATCATACCTAATATTCAATACGGATATAAAATTGGTCACTCAACAGTACATCAACTCAAAAGAGTGACGGAAATAATAGAGCGAGGATATGAAAATAAACTGTATACAACAGCTGCTGTTCTAGACATAACAAAAGCCTGTGATTCAGTATGGCTTAAAATATAAGATCCTTAAAACTAATATACGCGAATACCTCACCCTAATTTTCTCATTTCTGGATGATAGAACATTTTACGTCAGAGTTAATGCTTATAAATCCGAATCAAAACCCATCAAGGCTGAAGTTCCTCAAGGTAGCATCCTCTCACCAGTGCTATTTAATATCTGTTTACATGACATTCCGATTAATAAAAAAGACCAAAAAGCCTTATTCGCAGATGACATGGTTATAATCACCCAAAACGAAAATCTGGAAAAATCCATTCAAGATCTCCAAAACTCGGTTAATGAGATACATAAATGGTTATTAACTTGGTGCTTTCACTTAAATCCAAGTAAATGGGAGGCCAAAATATTTACCCTTAAACAAGTGAAAAATCCTACAAAAATAATAAGCGAAGATCACCTTTAAACTGGAATCCGA